TTGACCACTGTTTCTCCCTGCCCCAGCCCAATGGCATACAAAAAAATTTTGTTTACTTTTTCTTTTTTTCGTCTTCTTCTCCTGTTTTTGTATTTGAGGGAAGGGTCTACAAGTTGTTCAAGGTCTCACTACTAGATCGGATTCATAGTGATCCACCTATTTCCAGTCTCCCAAGAGCACAGCAGGCCTGGGATGAAACCCACGGGCCCTGGGCCTGCTTGCAGGCACTTCAATCCACTGAGCTATTTGGCTGGTCTTGTGTTATAGGCCCAGAGGATGCGCTGTAAGATTCTCATGTGGAAACTGACTCAGAGGAAGACTCTGGAAGGCTTCTAGAACAAAGTACCAAGGAGTTCAGCCCTATTGGATCACATCCTGGAGCTGAAAGGCTTGGGAACCACCAGGAGATGCCCTCAAGGTCCCCACAAAGAGGTTGGGGATTGACCTAGGGTAGGCCTGTTAGATTTCCCAGAACTCCTCCTGTCCACAAAACGCATTGTGGATTGCATCTCATCTATCCCCCTAACTTCCTGTTTAAATACACATACTACAAGGTATGTAACCTATTCAGTTATGAATATTCAGCAACCCAAAAAGAAACTGGGTAGATTTTCCGAGGACCCTGAAAAGTTTGCTGTTGGTTTACATGCCCTAAATATAATCTAACCCAGTGAAATGTTCATTTCATCCTCATTTCTTGCTACAAAGCAGTAAAAAGAAAGAGGAAGTACAAGACAGGCTAATGATGAAGACTTTTCAGCTTCAGCTGCTGATAATCAGCCAATGGATGCATCAGTGTTTGGATCCCAAGAGGGACCCACGTGAGGTTAGAGCACAGGGGCTGGAAAAGCTGAATGGAGGTTATATCTCTGGGCCACCCTGGAGGGTATGTGCCAGCAGACCCCAAGCCTTTCAGCTACAGAAGGTTCCGGTCTATCAGTCAAGGCTCTGATGAAAATGCCAACTCTGGCTTGAAGAGGCACTTTGCAAATATACTGATTTAGAGCTAAAGTCAGAGAAGGTTATGTTATCCTAGAGCAGTATTTGCTAGCCAGTCAGCTCCAGATACTAGGAGTAAGATCCAGAGACTCCAACTGAGCCTGCAAGCTGGGATAAGTCATTGGTTGATGTGGCTTGTTCAGTCTTTAGTAAGCATCATGAAGTAGAGGGCAGGCAAGTATGAGTGGAAAAGGTCGACCGCACAGATAAGGCTCAGGATAAATCCTGCAGCACCCAGGTAAACCGAGGTAATCCAGAGTTATGGAAGCGAGTCAGGGGGTTTCAAGTGCCAGTGACTGGCACTGGGCAAAGGTGTGTCCTCAAGAGCTGACAAAACCTTGTCAGGCCTGTGAGGACACAGAAGACCCTTGGCACTGGAGGATGGACTGCCCTCATCTCAGGTGGGGAAGAGGTCATCCTCCCCCATGGTGGCCAGGAGAGAGAGCCTGGCCCTGGAGGCTGCCTGCACCAGCTCCTATTCTCAGTATCTTAATAGGAGCTTCTGGGACTCTAGAAGTAGTGGGCTAACAAGTTATGTTCTTTTGTAATATTAGAGTGTCTTATTCAATTCTAATTTCTCATTGGGGTGAGCTTTCATCCAGTTCCAAAGCTGTTGTGGGCTTTGAAGGAGTGAGGCAGCCAGCATCCTTTACCCCTACTCTGAGCTGCCAGTTGAAAGATTTCCATTTCCAAGTGGCCCTTAAAGTGATACCAGAGTGCCCCATCCCAGGAATTGGAAGAGATATATTCTTCCAACTCAGGGCCTCTGTCCTTCGAACCTCTAGCTACCTGTGTCCTACTTGCTAGAGACCCGGCCAACCTGAGTGTGGGCCTGATGTCTGCCAGGAGTTGGTCCCCAAGCACGGTATGGCAGCACCCTGGGGAGGGCTGTCAGTGCTACTCTGGTTGTCATTCAGCTGAAGGACCCTAATCTACACCCTCACAGAAGACAGTATTCCCTTAAGAAAGAAGCCAGGCAGGGGCTAAAACCCATTATTAATACATTTTTGGCTACAGGGTGGCTGGTTCTATAGCAGTCTCTGTACAATACACTCACTTTACCAGTTGTCGAGCCACCAAGAGACTGGATAAGATGGGCTATTCACCTATGAGTAGGACTGACACACCCTTTTAGTACAGAGCCCTGGAGACACTAACTGGTTCTCTGTCCTTAGATCTCAGATATGTCTTCTTTCCTATCCTTGTGGATCCTAACTCTCAATACTTGTTAGAGTCATCTCTCCAGGGTGAAACTCACCCCTCTCCCGCAGACACCAGAAAACAAAGAGAGAACACAAACCTTACATTACTTAGGAACCAGTAGACAACCTCAAGTTTCTTTAAAAAAGAAAGAAAGAAAAAGAAAAACTGTTGAACCAAAAAAATCTTTTTTTTTTTCCTGTTTCTTGTAGGATCCTCTTGGATGTTTCAAAAACTACCTTTAATAGAGATAATAAATGGTGATTACTTATACAAAACCTTCAGGGTGATCACATCTTCCTCCTATCAGCAACAACTACGTAAGAACTTGACAGACAGCCTAGATAAACTTGCTCTGTGTACCACCAGCCTTTAGGAGCAAATAGGCTTGCTAACAGCGTGGCTATACAACCACAGAGGCAACTAGCTTTATTAATCCCTGAGGCAAAGGGACTATCTCTGTCTCTAAAAGAAATATAAGGGGCCAGGGAGATGGCTCAGTGGAATAAGCGCTTCCCTGGCAAGCGCAAGGGCGAGTTCAATCCCTGGTTCCAGGGGGAAAAAAAAAAAAAGAAGAAGTATATAAGGGCGGGCCAGAGAGCTCAGCAGACTAAAGTGCCTGCTTAGGCAGAGCGCAGCAGCTGGAGTTCAATCCCCAACGTGCCGTGCTGGCCCAGCCTCGCCTCCAGGACGTGTGGAGACTACGATTGGGACTGGGTGTGGTGGTGTGCGCCTGTAATCCCAGCGCTTGGGAGGCTGAAAACAGGAGGATCACTACAAGTCTGATCTGTGTAGTGAGACCCTGTAGATGCTGTAGACCCTGTACTAAATACATAGAAATAAGTAAATAAATAAATAAATAAATAAAGCATGTAAATAGTGAGAGACACAACTCAGAAGCTGGCCTTCCACGATACTAAGGTCCACCAGGAATTGTCTGAGTCCTGGGTCTCCTGACCAAATGTCTGGAATTGAGGTTCTTGCTTAATGTACTGGACATGAGCTTTATTAATTCTTCTCAAAACCTTACTGTTGAGATCTCACACATTTAATCTCTTAGTCAAATTTGTTTCTTCTTGTTTGACAGTTGTTAAACTACTGGGGATGGTCAAAGCCCAATGTCAAAACCTGCCTTCATGTTCATGGCTCGTCAAAAATTCCTTGGAGGAAGATCTCAGCTCCTTGACCTCTTAGATCAGACAGGGCAGGAGTTCTTATGTCTCTGCATAGGCAGGGCCAGGGCCTGTAGTCAACAGGAAGTAGCCATGGAAGACAGACCTTCCTCCTTCAGCACTCCTTAAAGGTTTTGGGGGGCCAGTTCACTGGGGTGATAGTACAAGTAGCACAATTGGGATGGGCAGATCACTCTCCCTCCATCCGCCTGAATTTGGGCAACTCCCTAGGGCCATTTCCCCTTTCCATGGTCTTCAGGGAAGCAGAAATGAAATAACAAAGGTTCAAAAAAAAAAATCTAGCTCCAAGCCAGAGCTCCTGGCCTGACCTTCAAGTAAACTTTTCTCCACTCAGAACTTGTTAAACGTTCATACATATGGGCAGCAGCTCATGTATAATTTAATCAGAGTGGGTAATGGGACAGGTGTGTGTTTTGAGAACACCTTCTCAATCATTACTGTCGCCTCTTATTCACAGACACTAAGAGAGATGCCTGGGTTAAATGCATGTCTTTTAAACTCTGAAGGCCTAGTTTATCTATGTGCTTTTTATTTTCGTTTATCCTGATGCCACTTTCTGTTCACGCCACATTCTTATTTCTGTTGGCACAGACCTGCTCTCACCTGGGCACAATCTTCCCATTACTTTCAAGAAGTACGGCTGCTTTTTCTTTTACTCTCAGATGTATACTTTTAGATCTTTGCTCACCTTACACAAGTGCCTGGAGTTCGTCTATTGGCTCTCCCACGTGGTATCGCTACCATGCTACGGAAGAGAAGCTACTCCTCCTACCCCGCTGTCAGCCACCCTCTTTCCTTCCCACCCACTCATGCTTCTCAACCTCTGGCAATCACTAGTCTACTCTCTTTCTATGAATCAGTTTTTCCTTTCTTTTCAGTCATTGCTATTGATCCCTGGGCCTTGCACGTGCTAGGTAAGCGCTCTTCCTCGGAGCTGTCTCCGCAGCCTCACATCATCACCTTGTTGTTTTCCCCCTGTAAGTGAGAACGTCCAGTGTCTTTCCATGCCTGACTTCTTTTGCAGAACATATTGTCTCCAGTTTCATTCAAGCTGCCACAAATGCCAAGATTTCATTTTTTATGGCTGAACATACCCACTGTGTATGTTTACCATACTTTGTTTATCTATTCATCTCTTGATGAACATCCAGATTGATTCCATGACTTGGCTGCTGTGATAGTGCTTCAGTAAACATGTGAGTTAGCTGTCTCCTCAACATTGATTTCCTCTTGTCTATCTATCTATCTATCTATCTATCCATCCAGTAATGGAATAGGTCAATCATACAGCAGTTTTACTTGTAGTTTTATTTTATTCTTTTGAGATGAGATCTCACCATGTAGTTCATGCTGACCTTGAGTCCACTGGGTAGTGCAGGGTGGCCTCAGATTCTTGTGATCCTCCTGCTTTCACCTCTCAGGCACTGGAATAACCACCATGCACCACCAACCCTGGCTCATTGGAGCAGAGAGTTGCCTCTCTAGCTGTTTTAGATGTCACCTCACACTCCCATGGAATGTTACTAATGGTCATCCAAGTCACTGAGGACATCACTAAATACAACGCACCATTCTCCCAGCTGCCCTTTTTTCTGCTTAACTTTTCAGGGCTCACGTGAACATTCATTCTGCCAGGAGTCTCTGACCACCAGAACTGCCCCAGGTTCTGACCTTGTATTCCATCCACACCTTGAAAGAAGGAGGAAGGGCCCAACATTGCCAAAGAGGTATGTTTTATTGTTCTTTCTCAGCAGCTCTAATGCAAGCCCAGGTACATTGACCTCTTGGGGAAACATTTGCTTCAGTTATGGCAAACTTTGGTCATGGGCCTTTTCCAAGTGACTTTACCCTCCAGCCTCTAAGGATGACTCCCAGCCCTCCTCCATCAGGTCTTCACGCTTCCTATATAAGAACCTTAGGAGGTCAGTCCCTGTAGCATTTCCCCTATGCTGCAGCATAAGTTCTAATAAGGCCTCTTTCAGGTGCCCTTATTTTTGCCTATTCGCAATTTCTCTCTAGAGGAGAGCCTGCTGAGCTAGTTCACTAACAGTTGCTGATCAAAGGTTGTTGGCACCAAAAGCAGCCAGTAGCCAGAGTCAATAACACTGAAGTCAGATTGTAGTCACAGAATAAGAGAGCAATGCAGAATGATTGGAGTTGCCATTCCAGTGGCTGGAGGAGTTCTCGAGGCCTGGCAGTAGCTGCTGGCTCTGAGTGTGGGGAAGACCATAAACACGAAGAGCCAGTAGCCATTAGGGTCACTAAAAGCGTTATACTTTGCCAATTCATGATTTCTATAGGACTTGAGCAAAAGAACCCTCAGTTGATGAGTAAGATTTTGGTGGCCCATAAAAGGACCTTCAAGGGCTGGCCAGATAGTCCAGAGGACTAAAGTGCCTGGTTAGGCAGGCACAGCGACTGGGGTTCGATCTCCAGCATGCCGTGCCCACCCTGCTCCCAGGGTGTGCTGAGACTGCGACTGAGAGTAGGAATGATTGCACATGCCTATAATGCCAGTGTTTGGGAGGCTGAAAACTGGAGGATCACTAAGAGTCTGATTTGTGTAGTGAGACTCTGTAGACCCTGTATTAAATACATTTTTTAAAAAAAGAACCTTCGATGTTAGAAGGTCCTGAAACAAAGGATAGATGATCATGGTGGTGGCCAGCAGGAGAGAAACAGCTGAAATGCCAGCCCATGTCTGAGGTGCAGTGAGGGACCCACACTAGCTGGTTACATCCTCACTCTGCCTTTCCTTGCAAAGATCAGCTGAACTACCCATATCACAGGCTGAGGATGGAAGCTGGGTCACACACTCAGCTTCATACCTGGGGACAGGGCTAGCACAACACTTGCCCTTCATAAGCAGTTATCCAGAAAATGTTAGCTTTGCAAATACATGTCTAACTACATTAAACTTGGATTACAAAACAGAGGCAATAGTATTCATGGAAGAGTCCGTGAATGGTGTACAATTTGTCTCTTTAACCAGGAGTCCTAAAACCTTAGCTGGCTCTATAGTGGAACCATTTGGAAATGTTGAAAAGAATCTTTGGTTGGTAGAGTCTTGTGCTGGTATTTTGCAAATGCATCCGAGGTTTGTGACTGCTCAGGTAAAGCTGGAGAACAAGGCTCCAGAGAATTCACATTGCCTCCTAGAGAATGGCTTATATGTCTTTCACCATCGAGGAATTATGTGTCTTCATGGAGCTATGCTTGGGGTTTGAGTGTCCCTGGGACATAGACAAGTGGCCCTGGATCCTGGAGTTGCAGGGCATGTTGTTGTCAATAGGTCCTCCTTCAATAAGTGCACAGAACAGGTTTCTATTGAGCATCCGCATCAAAAAAATTCAGACAGCCCTAGCAGCCAGGCCTCATTTGTGTTAGGGACACTGGGCTCTGTTGCCTTCGTGTTCCTTTCTAAGCTTGCAGTAGTTTTTGGTGAGCTCGTGGTCAAAGCTGTGGTCTATGTTTCCACCTATATAGAATTTGATGATATACGTATTGTGTATTGACTTGTTTCTTCTTTGTTTTCTGTCTTTATCTTCCTTTTTCATTTTTGTTGTATTGCTTTTTGATTAGTTCATGTCTTAGTTGCTTTTCTCTCATTGCTGGGACAAATACCCAATACTCAAAATGAAGGAAGGAAAGGTTTATTTAGCTCACAGTTACTGGAGGTTTCAGTGCATACTCAGCTGGCTCCAAGGCAGAGTGGCACACAGCAGTCTTTCCTGGCAGTGGCAAAGAGCAAGAGAGCAAGAGAGAGGTAGCAGCAGCTCAGGCAGCTAACTTCTCTTCCCTCCTTACATTGTAATGCAAATTACCTGCCCCAGGGCAGGTGCAGCATCCACACCCACAATAATCAATCACAAACTCCAGAAGCTGCCCCAAGACTGCATGAGGCTTTGGAGGGACGACTAGACAAAAACCATAACATTCCTCCCCTGGACCCCCCAAGATTCATGCACATCCCTTTATGCAAAAGCCATTCTAGTCCATCTCTATGAGTTTCCAAAGTCCCAACAGTTCCAGCATTGCTGAAAAGTCTTCTCCAAGATCCAAGGCAAACTCTCAACTGTCAACCCCTATACAAATGAAAACTTAAACACTTGCAACATTCAAAGGCACAAGATAAATATTAGCATTCCAAAAAGTACACACAGCAGGATACCAAGCATTGGGACCAACACAAGTTCAAAAACCAGCAGGGCAAACATTAAGTCCTGCAGTTCCATGTGGGACATCTGAAGCAATCTGTGATGAGTTGTGAGCTCCAAAGGCCTTACATGGCTTCTCCCCTACTGCACTCGTGGTGGTAGCTCCCATGGCATCTCTCTTAAGCTGGCTTTGCTCCCTCCTTGCAGTTTCCCTGAGATGATCCACATCTCTGGCTTTTCCAGACTTCTAGGGTTTCCACTGAATAGGCTTCTCACTCACAGCTTCACACATTGTCCTCTCAGGGGCACACTGCCTGACCTCCCAGGCCTTCTTCTGAAATCAAGGTGAAGCCTTCTTACCCTCAGAACTCCTGTATTCTGAATGTGCCTAAAACCATCGCCACATGGATGATGTCAAGGTCTGCTGCCAGCTGGAGCAGTAGCCAGGCTTTCCTCTCTCTTGGCTGTCGGGGGCGAGTGCCTGGATGGCTGAACACCCTGACCCTGATTCAGAGGAATAATTTCTCCATGCCGGTGCCATTTTGGAACCTGGTGTGGCCACCTGCCGCTGCCATTCTGGAACGCGCGGGGCTCTGTGGCTTTCCCCTCAAGGCACAGTCCCTGATATTTGCATTTCTGAGGCTGCAAAAGGTGGAGACCTGCCACCTCTGGCGATTCCCTCAGGCCATCCTTTCCATTCTCTTGTTCCTTCATGGCAATGGAGATCCTCTCAGCTCCGTCTCTGCAGTCCACAGCTCTATTGGAGCTTCCTTTCTGGCCAAACTCACATTTTGGCCCATCCTGCTGGGCTTCTGGCTCTTCATTCTCAACATAAATCTGGCTAAAAGCCCCCAGCCATGCCATCACCCTAATATTTGGCTGCCTTGAAATATCTTTTGAAAGATTAATCAGTCCACCATGCTTAAACTCACTCTCAGTCAAAGTATCTGGACATGAGCAAAATGCAGACAACTTTTCTGTCAAGTCAAAACACAAACGATCTGGAGTCCAACAACCAATGCAGTTCTTCTTCCAAGCAGAAACCTCCCCAGCCTGGTCTTTACAGGATGTCTCTCCATCAGCCTTCTGGTCTTCTGAGTTCTGACCAGAATCTCCCAAGCAGAACAGCCAAAGCTGCTCCAGCTCTTCACAAGTAGGCAACATCTCCAAACCTTTCCTATCTCTTCCCAAAAGCCATTCCCAAAAGCTTGTAATCCACATGGTCAGGTTTAGCCATAGCAATGACCCCACTCCTGGCACCAAATTCTGTCTTAGTTACTCTTCTCTCATTGCTGGGACAGATACTCGACACTCAAAATGAAGGAAGGAAAGGTTTATTTAGCTCACAGTTACTGGAGGTTTCAGTGCATACTCAGTTGGCTCCAAGGCAGTAACACATGGGAGAGAGCAACCTTTCATGGCAGAGCAAAGAGCAAGAGTGCAAGAGAGAGGTAGCAGCAGCTCAAGCAGCTAACTTCTCTTTCCTCCTTACATTGAAATGCAAATTACCTGCCCCAGGGCAGGTGCAGCATCCACACCCACAATAATCAATCACAAACTCCAGAAGCGCCCCAAGACTGCATGAGGCTTTGGGGGAACAACTATACACAAACCATAACAGTTCACATACCATAATTCACATTTTATTTATCTTAAAAATATTTATTCATTTTTATCAGTACATATTGATACTGATAATGATCACATTCATCACATAGAATGGATACCTGTGCATAATACCTTAAGTTTTCTTCTTTCCTCTTGCCCACCCTGCCCTTCAAGCCTTCTCCCCCTGCCAATTTATAAAAGCTTTGTTTTCACTTTTTATCTTCCATTCTCGCTTTTTAAAAATCCCCTTTCCAGGGCTAGGGAGATAGCTCAGTAGAATAAGTACTTGCCTGGCAAACACAAGGCCCTGAGTTCAATCCCTGGTACTGGAAAAAAAGAAAAGAAAAAAAAATCCCCTTTCCCTTCCTTAATTAAACCTTATAAAGTGTATAGTCTAGTGCTTTTTAGGATTTTTTGTCAGATTTTATGATTCCTTACCACTACCAAGTACAGAACACTTTCTTCCTTTTTTCTTTCTTTCTTTTTTAAACCAGGAATCACACAACCTCACACTTGCCAGGTAGGCGCTGTGCTCCTGAGCTCTATCCCTAGACCTCAGAACACTTTTGTCACTTTAAAAAGAAACTCCAAGACTGACTGTGGTGGCGTGTGCCTGTAATCCCAGATCTTGGGAAGCTATAAACAGGTGGATCACTATGAGTCCGAGCTAATAGTGAGACCCTGAACACCTTGTAGACTCTTCCTTAAAATACAAAAGAAGAAAGAAGAAGAAGAAGAAGAAGAAGAAGAAGAAGAAGAAGAAGAAGAAGAAGAAGAAGAAGAAGAAGAAGAAGAAGAAGAGG